TTCTTCTTCTCTTTTTTTTTTTTTTTGAGGCTCGGCGGATTTGAGATCTCTTGACCAAACTTTTCCCTTGTCGGTACTGTCGCAACTGCTTTAGCGCGGCTGGTTGTTTGTTTAGGGTGGTTTTAGTATAACTTTAGCTGCTGCTCCTTCAACCCCTTCGCAGCGGATAGGTAAACAACCATCCGGGTGTCCCCCCAAAACATCAACATCTACAGTTTGGAGAAGGCTTCAAAGTCTTCTTGTCGCCCAAAATGGATGCAAAGGTATGTTTCCCCTGCATTTCTTTCTTCGTTTGTAGTCATCATCCATCAAGCTTGTGGGGGATCCCTCTCTGCGTCCATGTTTACGAACCTTGACGCGCTTGGTGTTTTCCTTCCTGTGCTCACATTTTGGCGTCGCATACAATTTCAAGATTGTATACTGACATGCAATTGCTTCTAGCCTCAGCGAATTCGCGTCCGTGGGGATGAGAATGCTGCCTTTCCCCTCACTAGCAAAATGGTTCACCAGAAAAACAAATCAACCCCCGCCCTGTCCACGATGTTCCAGAATGGCGCGACGAAGAATGGGCCAAGGAGAGCTGCTTTTGGAGACGTCAGCAATACCATGAAAACCGTCCAGGGCATTCGGGATGACATCTCTGTTGCAGCCAAGAAACAGACCAAGCCATTGGAGAAGCCTTCCGTGCAGGTCACGGAGAGGAAATCTTCTGTCTTGGCCCAACCTGCCCAGCGCCCAATATCGGTGGCGGGAGTCAAGGGCCTATTAAGCAATGTGACGAATTCCAAGCCCCTGGAGCCCGTCGGAAGGTCGACCGGCGTGCCGCAACATACCGCCAACGCCCGCAAGGCTCTGAACAAGCGAGGAACGATCTTTAAAGATCACATGGAACCATTGACGGAAAAACGCGAACTTACATCCAAGGAAATAACTCAAACTAAGGAAGGGACTACTGGGGGCCAAATCGCGCATTCGTCTACGGCGCCTTCGCAGCTCAGCAGCCTGGCGGAAAGGGACGCAGTCAATGAAGGATCAAATGATGAGTCGGAGAATCACGATGAACATTCTATTGTCAGCTCTGAAGTTGATGGAGAGGAGAAGGACGCGCCCAAGCTCGACGAGGATATTTGTAAGGTTCAGGGTATCAAGGAACTCAAGGAAGCCTCTGAACCCTGTACGGCAACCGAGGCCGACGGCTCAAACCGAGTTGTGAAGCCACAACGTGTATCTGCTCCTGGCGCACATCTGCCTCATGAACATGTGCCCGCTCACTCGGAGCCGGAAGAATCCTGGGACGACGAAGACGACGAAAATGAAGAGGAGGATGAGTATATCACTGCTCGCTCCTATCGATCCCGTGGCGAAAACACGACTGGCGCGACTACTACAATACTCTTCCCGAAATACACGCAGCAAGTGAGACGGGAATTGGCACTGGCGAAACAAATTGTCGAGGCAACACGGACAGTGGAGGATATTGAAGATGAATACTGGGATACGAGCATGGTCGCGGACTATAGTGAAGATATATTCGAGTATATGCGAGAACAGGAGGTGTGTTATTATGGATACCGAGATATGCTCGGGATTGATCGCTAACTGCATCTAGATCAAAATGCTGCCAAACGCGCACTATATGGACAACCAAGCGGAAATTCAATGGTCTATGCGGTCCGTTCTGATGGAATGGCTTGTGCAGGTCCACCATCGGTTCTCTCTACTCCCTGAGACCCTTTTCCTGTGTGTCAACTATATCGACCGTTTCCTGTCCTGCAAGATAGTCTCCCTGGGCAAACTGCAGCTTGTTGGTGCCACCGCCATCTTCATTGCTGCCAAGTATGAAGAAATCAACTGTCCTTCCGTGCAGGAGATTGTTTATATGGTTGACGGAGGCTACACCGCCGATGAGATCCTCAAGGCGGAACGTTTCATGCTCACTATGCTGCAGTTCGAACTTGGGTGGCCTGGTCCCATGAGCTTCCTGCGGAAGATCAGCAAAGCTGACGACTACGACCTGGAGACCCGGACACTGGCAAAGTACTTCTTGGAGATTACTATCATGGATGAACGCTTCGTTGGATGCCCACCAAGCTTTACCTCTGCTGGCGCTCATTGTCTCGCAAGGATGATGCTGAGAAAAGGAAACTGGGTAAGCTTACAGAGACCTGTTCGTCGTCTGTACCTCCGCTAACATTGGAACAGACCCCTGCCCACGTCCATTACGCGGGATACACCTATTCACAGCTTTACCCACTGATTTCTCTCATGATGGAATGCTGCGAGATCCCTCGCAAGCACCATGCGGCCATTTACGAAAAGTACACTGACAAACGGTTCAAGCGTGCTTCGCTGTTCGTCGAAGCTGAAATGAGAAAAGGGTTCAATCTGCCCGAGGTCACTCGGGAAAAGAGTCTTGGCAACCCGCCGTCTCTTGACGTTGACCATCACTGGAAGCGCACATAACTGCCGCTCTGCCTTGCGACAATTCTCTCCAGGACGCCCAGAAGCCTGGCATCTTGAAGCACGATTACCTGATATGCTTGAGTATTGATTGATGAACATGAAAAACAAACATAAAAAAGAGGAAACGAAACACAGCCGGGCAAGAAAAACAAGGGAAAACGCGAGCTGTTTTCCCACTTCAATCTTATCATGACACTTTCTTTTGTCGCTCGACTTTGTATGCCATGCCTTTCATGCACATTTGGGTTTTAGAACACGGAGACAATGTTTCGACGGACGGGGAATCGGATATCATCAATGGGCGGAGTTTTTTTTTTCCTTTTTTTTTTTTTTTTTTTTTTTTTTTTTTTTTTTTTTTTTTTTTTTTTTTTTTTTTTTTTTTTTTTGTTACTTGAAACGGACGACATGCCAGCCATGCCATCCGGAACCGGGAGTTCAATGGGGTCGATGGTTTCTCTTATTCCCTTTCTTAATTAATCTGCACCCTTTATATTTCCTTTGTTTATTTCTTCCACTAACCATCCAACCGATTCTCATGAACGATACATGCCCTTCCTGAAACGCTTCCCAGGGACTTCATGAAAATGCCCCCAGCATTAATGCCTCGTCTTCCCTTTGTTCCTTTTTGGACTTCTGCTCTTCTTTTCTCCATCCTTTTTTATTCTCTGTGGTTATTATCCAGGCTTAGTACACAGGAACTAGTCAATTGGATCTATCTCTTCACTGAATTAAGTGCCTGGCCGTAGAGACACTTCCTCACCTAGGACACCAAATGATATACCCACTTTGGGACCCTTCTATATCTTGGGTTCAAAGGAATGAAGTATTGTCTGCTAATAATCTATTCAATTCTATGTTTTATTTATCACTGTTCGTAGATGAATGGATTCTGTCCCTTCTTTCGTTCCTCTTTCCCCTCCAACAGTAATTTCACTACACTAAGGATAATTGAATATTAACCATGTCTATAAAACCAAAGAATATCCGGAGACTGTTGAGCCCAAACATCCTTACCTTCTATCCCCTTGTGAGGAGCTCGATGTGGCTATTACTCTTGGTTTCATAGTATGGTATAGGGTTTTTAGAGCGCAACCCGCAGACAAGGAACTATGGATCCTGGGCCCTACGGCTATTGAGTATTTAAAAAATGGCACTCAAATCAGTAAGTCAGTCAATCCTGGAGTCATGATTCTATCTCCTGATAGAGCCTAACTATTGAACGTCTAGTTATGCAGCTGCTTCCAAGGCAAAATCTTGCCTGGAATGCCATATATGACTTAAACTATACCAAGTCTAAAGACTGGAAAATATTTAACGTTAGCCATAGCCATGCAGTATACCCAGCCACGGGTACAGCTCATTAAGCCCGTCATTACTAACGCCTTTTTCGTTTGGTTTAAAGTTTACCTGATACGGGCAAAGAAGAAATAGGTATACATGTTCTAGTCTCTTGAATATTGACCTCCGTGGCTAACAGTTATAAATCTTATCTAAATATGGTTCGCATATTGCGCCATATCAGGCTCAATTCTTGAAAGCGGTAGCCAAGTCTTCGCCGTTTATAGCATTTTTATGTTAGCATTCATATTGTGGTTTAAGGTACTTTACCTCAAAGCCAGGGCCAGGTACATGCACACTTTGTTAGTCTATCGAATATAAACTCCTGTGAACTGACCATTATGGATTTCATCTAGATACTGGGGTCCTCGTATTAACCCTTACAACCCAAGGTCGGTTCAAGACCTTGATTCAGCGTTACAAATGACAAAGAAACGTATGCAACGAAAAGCGTTCTTCCGCAAATTCCGTATTTCGTCTTTATTTTCGAAGGCGCAAGGAACTGCCGAACTGGAGGAAAACAGGACGATGCTCGAAAAAGAGAGCAAAATGACGCAGAACCCAGCAAATGCTCACAGTGAGCCTACAAGGCCTCCTGTTACATCTGCAACGACATCTGCGTGTTACCCTAGGGTGCCCACAGACTGCAGTCAGTTGGAAAGTGCAGGAGTAGAAAAGTGCACAGAATCAACAATACCCGGAGAAGGCACCCGTGCAGAGACGGACGGCCGCTGAAGCAAAGAGTTATGAGTATACGCCCGAGAATGCCCTAGCCATTTGCAATTAGTTCCGAATGCAAGCAGGTTTTTCGTGGAGGTCAGGCCTTTCCAAGATCAGCAAGACTAGCATAAATAGCAAAGCAATCATCTATCTAGGATTCCGGAGTCAATACTTAGTATTTTTCAGCTTAAAATAAATAAATTGATTGGCTATATGATACACCTCTTGTAGTTAAAACATTGAATAAGAAGTAGGCTTTTTATTAGAGTACATTGGAAATCATTATATGCTGAGGTTGCCATGATCGACCATTTATAGCCCGCACCGTTTTGAGCGGACCGTGGACCGATGTTACCTGATATGGTTTAGCGAGTTGCTTTCCTGCCCCGCACCGGTCTAGCCGCGCGCTTAATTTTTTTCTGCCAAGCCTACGGTCTGCCGTTATTCATCCTCGAAGTGAATATCTACTGAGTACATATTCAACTTGTCGAGGGAAGGCTCCCGCAAGCCTTCAGTCTGGAACGCTCTTTCTGTCTTTTCTTGTTTTTTACTGTTCCTTGATCTTCAATTTTTTTCACACACTACCAACTTCCACCTCACAGCGCTAGTTAACGACCCGTCGCTACGAAATTTTCAAGTCAATGACCTCTTGAATTGTCGGCCCCTCTATCGCCCACCTTCTTCTCTGCACCTAAAAGTTTACACAAAACTTGAGCACACAACCAGCCACATAGCATGCCCCCCAAAGCTGCTCCCCGCTGTGGCTCATCCGCCGCAGCGGCAAACAGACGCACGAATGCCTCCGAACCTAGCTCGAACACCGCAACACCTGCACCGGGCGAGAATGCCAGCGCCGGACCGTCAGCCAGCAGACCGCCCGTCCAGCGACTGCAATCATTGAAGAAACGCACCCCGTCCGGCAGCATCGGACCCGCCGCGAAACCGCCGGCCCCGGGCGGGCCTGGCGAGCCGGCTAAGCCTACGTTGAAGTACAAACCGCGTGCGGTGGGGCGTCGCAGTAAAGAGGAGCGAGAGGCGATTGAGAAACTCGAGGCAGAGCGGAACCGAGAGAGATTGGCGGAGGCGGCGGCCATCCAGCGCGGACGGGGAAATCATGGCCCGGGTGGTCGGGGCGGGTTTGGACGAGGTCGTGGGGGACAATTTGGGTCTGCGAGCGGGCCTTTGGGGTCTATGCAAGGCCGGAGGGGTCGGGGTGGTGGTCCGGGTGGGTTTGGATCGAGGTTCAACGATTCCAGGGCGTCGTCTATGTCGAGGCGGAGTCGGTCGGTCATTGATATTGGGAGTGGGGCGGTTAGTCGGGATGTGTCATCCGATGAGAGTGACAATGAGATCCGGGTCAGCATTGATCATATCAATCTGGACAGTGATGATGAGGAGGCGGAGCAGGTGGTCGATAAGAAGAAGGGAAAGCTTGCGATGAAGAACGCGGAGGCTTCCGGGGAGAAGGGTCTACGACCCATTCGTGTGGAGAGACATGAGCATGAGGAACGGGTGGTCAGCGTCAATATGGAGTCTAGCTCGAGTAAATCTGCCGAGCTCCGCCAACAAGCGCAAGCAAAGGCTGCAGATGATGGCGCTCTATTTGTGCCAGATGATGATGGTTCATCTGGTTCGGCTACGGAGACGGAGACGGGGCCCCGGGTGAAACAAGAGCCTACGGATGATGACCATGCTATGGCGGATGTCGTTCCCCATGCGGATGAAGGACTGACCACCGATGATGGCTTCCTGCCGGAGCAAAAGGTGAAGGTCCGCCGGAAGATCTCTCGGGAGCCACCCGCCGTCAAGGATCCTAAGAGTTTACTACGCACCAAGGAAGATATAGAAGAGTATGAGAGACATGTGCAAGACCTTGCGATGGTGAAGGATCTGTTTACGAAGGAAGAGCCTAAAGAGTCACAGCCCGAACAAGTTGAGGTTGAGTCTTCGGCGGAGGACACAGAGGCGGCGGCGGCAGACGACGCGGAGAAGGACAAAGATAAGGAAAAAGAATCGGAAGAGGAAGAAGATGAGTCTGCTAAGGACAAACTATCCGGCCAGTTATTCCTGATGCAATTCCCACCCATGACACCTAATCTGGTGCCAGAAAATAGTGGTGATAAAGCCGCTGCGGCGTCTATAGAAGCTCCGGGCCAGGGTGCCCCCGATGGGACAGCTAGTAGCAACGGTATTGCGCCACAGCAAACGGGAGTCAAACGCGAAGACGGTGTGGATATTCTCGATGAAGCGGATGAATTCCAGCCCACAGAGCCTTCTAAGGTGGTCACCGCTACGGATTGGCAGCTCAAGGCCGGACGCGTAGGCAAGTTGAATGTCCATGCATCCGGACGAATGACGATGGACTGGGGCGGTATCAGCTTTGAACTGGATCGCGCCACTGCCGTTGACTTCCTCCAAGAAGCACTGATTGTATCCGCGGCTGCCGATCCAGCTGAAGGGGGAGTTCCGGAAGAGGAAAACAGAGTATGGGCTATGGGACAGCTCAGCGGCAAGTTTACCGTGACGCCTGATTGGGAGAAGATGCTATGAAGCGGGAAGGGCTACGGCAACATCAAACCCTAATAGACGTCGAGTCATGAAGGGTGGTCTCAGGGTAGTATCCACCCGCCATGCTTGAGGCCCGACTCTCTACGGCTGTGGCGTATCAGTTGATTGATCTCTAGATCTGCATCTGTATCCCAATGCATCTAGAAATAGCGGCCAACGAAATTCAAAGAGGCCGACGAATCATGGGGAGGGACAAGACCTGCTCCACGAATGCTGTACTCCCTTAGGTACCGTACTTACCGATCTTAACTTCAGGGAAAGTTGATGACGTGCATTGCGGCGATGAAGGTGCACAATAAGCTCCACGGACTGACCTCAGAACATTCCTATAATTAGTACAGGGACGTGTGGCCGACGAAACAAGTGAACATTCATTGGCAGAGAGTTGATCTGTATGTAAGTGTATGTAAGATGAATGTTGTTCCGATATATCAAAACAAAGTGTACGTAACATTTTTTGCCGTTGGATTGAATGCACCACGTCACGGCGTGTCGTTTCCTCTGCCTTCCTGACTTTCTTAGTAATTTTTTTTATATTTATCTTTATTTTAATTTTATCTTTTTATTATTATTTTTGGTTTCTTACCTTATCTTTGAATTTCTGCATGATTTCCGTTAGCTACTACCCATGACGGTACAACGTACGATAAGGGTCCCGTGCGAAAATCGAGGCGACCATCAAACAGGAAATTACACCAACCTCGCGTGGAGCCTTCAGGCACCCTCACTGGCCATGGACGGGTCAGCCATGGTACTAACTGGGGAAAGTCCGATGGCGATTGTTACAAGGGTTGTTTGGGGCTCCACCGCTTTGGATTGGTTTTCGAAACCCTGACAAGCTTCTATGAGTGGCACGAGACATCGATCGACTCGCGCTACTGCCAGCCCGTGCTGACGCGGCTGGTGACCGTCCAATGAGATCGCCGGGAATAGACGCAGAGGCGGGTCTCACAGTGGGGCCGTGCCTGTTAGTCGAACAGAAAGAAGCCAAACACTCCCAGGAAATAAACTAATTTCCAGGGCCAACGGGGGTCGGTGGGCGTCTGGCCGGGTTTTCTTCTCCCTTCAACTGCTGCTCAGTTCTCCATCTCTGCGCGGCTTGTTTTTCTTCTTCCTGTTCCCCCGTCGTCGTGGTTGCTGTTCTATTTTGTTGTTGGGTGTTTCGGCCTTTTTCTGTATTCTGATTGTTACTATTATCACCCTTCATCTCCTGAAACGTGTCTCGGGATTCCCTTGTGAGGAGTCTCTCGCTTAATAGCCTCGTTTCCCCCTGACACCCCCTCGGTCTCTGTTGCGACGCGACTCCTCGACACCAGGTTTACTTGAGGTTGGATCAATATTGCCGATATACTTGATCTAGTCACGAACTGTCGTTACCGTTTACTTCCCTTTTGCGAGATTCACCGTCCGATCAGTGGACCCTCAGAGACGATCTCTCGAGAGACCCGTATCATCATCGCAAATCGCTCAGATCACAATCATCATGAAGACGTCAAATATTCTTCTGTGCTTGGCGCCTGCGGTAGCACTCGCCGCTGAGGCAGATCAGGCGCCTGCCGCTGTCGCGCCCAGTCCTTCGCTACCGAACATTACGCCTCCGGTCCCGTTGCCAAATATTCAAAATCCTCAAAGCGGAGAAGACGAGTCGAAGTTACCATTGGAAGCACGTCAGATGGTCCAAATCGCCAATGCTGGTGTAGCCAAGCCTCCGGCTGCCGCGACCACGGAAGAGATTCTCACAACAACCGTTATGGATCAATGGCCGGCGCCCTCCAGTGGATCAATTGGGTTGGGAACACTGACCGCATCAGCGGGGGTAACGAAGTCGCTGCGCGCGCGGAGTGAAGGCACTCTTGGCCAAACACCATGGATAGGAATGGCTATCGGGCTGACATGCACAGCGCTTGCAGCTGTGATGCTGGGGTGATCGCCGCGCCGTCAATCATCTGGCGTGAGATTTTGAGCCCTTCTCTCCAAGTCTCATAGTTGGCCTATCGGATAACCAACGACCATCGCATTTCATCCCCCATTGGGTGGGGTTTGCATAAGGAGTTTGTCTTTTTCTTCCTACTCTTCTTCTACGACCTGGCAACCTATATGGTTGCTCATTGCTACGAGCGTATTTGCATTCATGCATCCGACAGCAGAGAGCCCTGTAATACTCTGTGGATAGTATATGGGCTCTGCTGTTCGTGTTTCATAGCTTCTTCTTGTGTGCTGCATTGTTCTTGGCTGCACTTGCATTCATACCCGACTGTTGTATAGACTGGGTTTGCCACGCTTTTTCTACGTGTACATGATACCTTTTTTTTTTTTAGATTTTTTTCTACCTGCTCCGGCCTTGGTATACTCGGATTCAGTCGACGATGTATCTACTATGCATGATGATTCAACCAATCAATCAATATATACATATTATTATTATTATTATTAACAATGCTTGCTACGTGTCTTTTTCTCTTTCTCTTTCTCTTATTTTGCGTTCACGGCAGAACACCGGATAGCCAATAGAATCAAAAAGGTCCGACGTCTCACGTCTTTGTTCTTGGGGCGCCGGCAAACAACATGCGGGCAACACGAAGCCTCCCCCGGACAAACAAAGATCAGCCTTGTTGTCGCATGCGACTTGGCAGGCTGACAGCACGAACTTAAATGTCACCGACCTCTCCCAGATCTGTTATTTGATTCACCCATAGATTCTTGGGGTGTATCCTGAAATTTCATTGACTTCACCTTCTGGATCTAGATCACTTCATCTAGCGCCAGTCGTCTCTAAACTCAAGAAAGCAACAAGAGTACCGGGAGGCGAAGAAAGATGCACGATGAGAACGAGCAACCGAAGAACATCCCTCCTTTCACGCCGATGTCCTCTCTCGGGCACGAGTTGGGCGTTATGTTCGCCTTTCTTGCGGCCTGTTTCGTAATCATGGGTTTATATGTCTTCTTCTGGCGAGGTAAGCGTCTCCTCTTGGATCTAATACCTATCACCTCGGATGAAATGTGGATTAATGACCTGTCCGACAGCATTCGAACGTCGGGAGGCACAAAGAGAAAAGGCCCGTAAAGAGCGGTTCACGAGGAGAGACGTCCATCATGGGCGCAGCGGCATCCCTGAGAAGATGTATGATAATCGGAGAGTCGAGCTACCGGGGAACAGCCGATATGAACTCCCAAATGGGTATGAGAATGGGGAGAGATCGACTAATATGAAGATGGGTTCCGCCGGTGCTCGGGTGAATCGAGCGAATGGCTGGATGGAGATGGATGATCTGCGTGCGCCGCGGAGATGACAATCCCGTTTTGGATTAATCTATATTCTTGTGATATGTTCTTTGCTTGGCTACCTGGCTTCTTTTTTGTATCTACTCCATACAGGGGACGTTGGGATTTTCAGGGGTTGCTGCTGGCCGATGGTATTAGATTGGTCTCCTGGGATAGCCGAATATGCTATTTTTGAAAAGGCAAGTCAAAGGCGAGCCTTGTTGCCTTCAAGCTAGCTATTATTCCGCGCCTATTCTATATGCAGGTTGTGAGGATACTCCCGGTGGTTCCCCAGCATCCCACCCCTGAAGCTCAGCGATGTCTACTCAGGGTTGAGTGGCTGGGATGGGAAACTCTCCGTATGGACTAAATGGATCATAATGTATGAGCCACTGGCACTTTAGGCTTGCTGATCTGCCGTTGATTGGGTGGGTTCAGGGAGGAGTTCCCAATGAAGAAAAAGGCGTTAGCTGTATATATTTTTGCGGTGTTTATGGCATATCATGGATTGGTTTCGACTGTACGTAACACAGCCTACGGCTAAATCAAGCATAATTTCTTGTTAAAGTACTACTATTATTGACGACATTATTAGACCCTGTCAGGTACTAGTACTATCTGGGGTTCAACAACCGAACTGATGTTTTCTACACACCAGTTACGGTCATGAATACCCTAGGTAGTCTGTATTGTCAAGGGAACCGCCGACTCCGTAGGATAAGAGGTAGAGGATCTGCACCTGACTGCATTTGTCCTGTCAGATATGGCGGGCACGTGCCTTGCAGCTGCATAGCGCAACAAGCGGTAAGACAATTGGGGAAGAGAGAATCCCATCACCCAAGAGACGGAGATGCTCAAGTGGATGCTCCTGCTCAAGTCAAACCCGAATTAGACTAAGACCGGTTGGTTCTCTCCACCGCCTCAGGACTAAATCGTAAGGGAGCTTGAGAGTATGGCGGTGACCGGACAACTACTTCAATTGTCTGGACTCTCGGCGGGATGGGCCAGGGGGAGTATGGTGAAAAGTGTAGAGTGGGTGTTGATCCGGGTAGAGGTTAATCCTTGAAGGCTGTCGCATGCAGGTTGCTGTTTTTTTCATTATTGTCTGGAAATTGATGCGCATGTAAAAGAGTGCCTCCAGGAATGGCCAGGGCGGGGCACGCAAATCACTAATTGTGTTTTTTTTCCCGTTTGGTTGCCAACGCAGGCAAACACCCCACCTGCTGGTCTCTCTTCGGCGCGCGGCTCTACCTTAACTAATAATCAACTTCAACGGACTCTTTCCCCCTCTTTCTTCATCCCACACAACAAATAAACCACTTCTTGACCTTCCATCTTCTTTCTCACCCTTTCGCGGTTGACTACCCTCCTCGTTTCACCCACTTCCCTTTTCCGACCCTTCTCCGTCGTTTCTCCGTCCATCAGTCACTATGGGTGCTCACTCTGCTGTTTGGCAAGGTACGATTGAAATGACTGTCCCTTTCTCCTGACTGGCTCTTGCTCGAAGCTCGTCTGAGCTAGTATCTCCATGGACCGATGTAGCTAATAGTTCTGTTTTCTTGTTCACAGGATATGTCGATTCCAGGTACCGTCCACCCCTTAAGACTTTCTCCTATTACCCCACTTCCGCAATCCGAAGCTCTCCCCGACAGCTTTCCGCCGTTCAGTTAGCCGGCCATGTATGCTGACCACAACCATACAGCTTGATGGGATCCGGCCACTTTGACAAGGCTGCCATTCTGAGCCACGACCTTTCCGGCACTGAGGCTTACTCTCCCGGCTTCACAGTATGCGACCACCGAATTCCATGACACTGGATCCGCCGACTCCGTGTCCCGCGGGATCCCAATATTCAACCACTAATGACCGTCACAGATCAGTGTCGATGAGCTCAAGGAACTCGCTGCCGCCTTCACTGATAGCGGCGTGGCGATGGCCAATGGTTTCCACGTCGGCGGCGAGAAGTTCGTCGCTATCCGGGCCGATGACCGCAGTCTATACGGAAAGAAGGTACAACGCCCGCTTGCACACTAGAGACCTGACCGGAGTCTCCATATCGAAAAGTCGAAAACATGCTAATTCCCGACTAGGGCAAGGAGGGTATTGTCGTTGTGAAGGCCAAGTCCTGCGTCATGATCGCCCACCACCCCGAGTCTGTCCAGACCACCAACGCCGCCACCGTTGTCGAGAACCTCGTTGACTACATCAACAAGTACTAGACGGAGACGGCGGTGTGGAAACGAAATGAATGTCTTCTTAACTTGTGAAAAAGGACTGTGTCTGCTTTGAATCGATTTACTGGCGGGTCCTCTTCATTTCTACTATTACTCTACCCTTTTTATTCCTTTTATGTTCGCCGATATTGAGCATCGCTCGTAGATATGTGCCATAGGTTCTGATCTAGTACGCAAGAAAGATTTCCAATTTCCTGTCTCATGGATAGTTGTCGATAGGCAATAGTATAGTGGTTTGTGAGATTGGATCTGCAGAACAGGCTTTCTCGTTATCACTCTGTACTAGTATGTTGAACGTGGTGTCCCTTTCCCCATGAAATACACATTTGAACAAAAGAAGTATAATTACAATTCTAGCATTACAATATATATCCCCCTTCAACATAGACCCAGTACAGTGTCATCTCCCTGCCAAACAGAGAAAGCACACCAACCCCATAAAAAGGAACAAGTAATTCATATCCATCTCATCATAATCATCGACACCCCCATCCACTCTTCCATACTTATACCCATACTCATACTCAACAACAACCATCCACCTCTCTCACACACACACCCACCCACCCATAAGACCAAAAAAGAAACCCCTCTAAACAGGCAACTCAGCATTACTCCTCCCCCCCGCCAAAACCTCCAACCCCTTCTGCAAATACGGGCCCACAACCGGAATATTGCCCGCAAACTGCCCAATCGTGATCAGAAAATCGCCAAAGAGGATAAACAGCCCGTACAGTTCGATCAGGAAGCCCGTGAGTGGCCAGCGCAGGAGGATGAGGAGGATGCCGGCGGTGAATGCGGCCGTGCCTTTTAGTTTCTGGCGGCGGCTGAAGAAGGCGAGGGTTTTTTGGACGCCGATTATGAGCGTGAGGCCTATTAGGAAGAGGATCTGTTTTGTTTTGTTAGTGCTTGTTGGGGTGGAGTTGGGGGGTGGGTTATTTGGGGGAGATGTACGTTGCCCATTGCCAGACTATGTATTGTTAGCTTTTACTCTTGTTTGGGGAAGTTTGGTGGGTGAGTGGAGGGAAGGGAAGGGACATACAGCGAGCGATCGAAGAAGAGAAGGACGCCGCCGAAGAGGAAGAGGGCTCCTGTTTTATGGGACCTTGGTCAATTGATGCGCTTCTTTTTTTTCCCCTTTCCAGTGTGGGTATTTTTGTCCAGGTGTTTGACGGTGTGTATAGGATCGTGCGACATTGTTAATGGAGGAGACGATGGCTGCTACGTACCGCCTGAGCAGAAGATCACCCCGATTTCTGTATACCATGTTAGATCGTGGACGTTGTTCTTGGGCGCGTGACCCTGCATCCCGTGCTTACTTTGGTTATCTGAGAGCCACATTGTGGGCATTCTGGACTGTGATTGAGATGGTGAGGATTATGGGTAAGAGGAGAGCGTGCGATTTGCTAGGTAGCGGAGGAGAAGGTGTTCATGTGCTGGTGGCAATGCAATTGTTTGGCGATGTTGTGGACGAGGTAGAGGGTTAGGTCCCGAAAAGTTAGGTGCACGATAGATAAGATACTATTGGGTTATTGTATTGGTCCGTTTGGAGTGGTTTTTGGATGGCGCACTGAGCCACACAGGGTATTTCTTTTCGGGGGAGTTGGGAGAATTGAAACGGAGTTCAGTCGTGTTGGATGGTCATTATTCATTAATAGAGGTGAGAGAGCAAGTATGGATATTTATCGTTATTTAGATTGACAATGGCGATTGATTTGCTTTTCCTTTTCTGCCACGTCTCCCCTTTTGTCTTAGGCTGGGGCTAGGCGCTTTGGGGAGGCGGTGTACGGGCTAGCTTAGAGTGCGTTTTAACCGCACATTTTTCGTTTCGATTGTTACCTTCTTGATTGTTGTTGATATCTGAAGATGTGATGGCCATTGGATGACGTACGCTTGCTCGTTACATCCAATGTTTCGATTATATACCGAGCCAATGTAATGATACTGCTTGAATCAGTATTGGTGGCGTCACCTTGTGCAGTTCTGGTACTATCCAGATGTCATTTAATGAATGATGGCGATGTACAACAACAGCTTTGAATCAGACTGGAACTGGTCTATATTTGTATAATCACATCTAGATCCCCTGGATCTCTTTGATTCCCTCTTGTCAGCCTTCTGGCTCCCTTATACGCCGCGGCGACAGCGTCCCTGGATGCTGTAACTGACGCTCTTGCTCCGTGGAGCGTCGGTATTAGTCGAGTGCAACTGCACAAGGCGAAGAATGACTAATATAAAGGTCACGATTAAGCCGGAGCGCTTTCTTTGAACCTGTCTCGAGAGGGGCACGGTGGGTGGAAAGGGCTTGACTGTGATGGCCGGACATTCTACATAGTAGACCAAATCATAGCATAGTATCTGCAATGCATTAGCCTTCTCCATATCCAAACTCGGCAACTCTACCATCGTAGCTCACCTCACTTGCGAGACAAATTCACGTAAAACATCACTTCCTCTACGCAATTTTCAACGCCCATTACTTGAGAACCACATGCGCCGCCCTCAACTCCAGATAACTCTCAGGCACGCCCTGCGCCAGAGACCGGACCACCCCAAAGACCTCCTTATCGTGATACCTCAGCCGGGTCTTGGGATCCGTATACGGAGCCGGCAACCCGGTGATATCGCAATACCTTGTCTGCTGCGACGGGTGCAGCGACGGCGCTGACTCGATATTCGTATACGTCACCGCCGGCCCCGACGAGTACATTGCCCGTGCATTCTTCTCTAGGACAAGCGTGGAGAGGTTCTGCGCTGCTTGCGCGATGTTCGTGCGCTGACCCACGTCGGCGGGTGTCTGGCTGCCGTCTGTACTGGCGGAGGTGGTGGCCACGAGAGGTGTCGTTGCGCCGGAGTTGGCTTGCGTGGCCATCTGGGACGCTTCCCTCCGGGAGCTCTCGGAGATCAGTTGCTTGACATTCTTGTTGCGCCGCTGGGAAGGCTTCCAATGGGGGTTGCGGAAGGGGCGCGGGACCTGTGCGATGTCGAGTTGGTTGAGGAGTTGTTGGTGGCTTTCGTTCTCAGCGGGGGTGGGAGGCGCCATTGTAGTTAGGTTGAGTATTCTTTCTTAGTTGGTTGGTTAGGTGGTAGGAGGTGAGATGTCAAGTTGCTGGTCGGTGCGGAAAGGCGAGATCGTGAAGCTGGGAGATGGTCCGGAGTGGACGGTCTTGACACGGATTGGTCTCTAGCGCACAATGCTTCTATAGCAAAGAAGTTGGGCGTGTGAATTGTATGGCAACACACTATAGTAATATTAATATTGTTTGAGCATGAATTATAAAGGACCAATATAAAGCTTCAGATTTGGCTCGATTTACACTTAGAACTCTAAGCCACGTGATGCACCGCATTGGGCAGTATTGATGGGCGAGCACAAACAAACACCAGACCAGGCACTCTATTCATAACCCTCGTTATTCAGTACCAGTAACAATGGTGGGTTGACTAAGTATGGATCTATAGAGATAGGGACAGTACTGACACAGATCTTGTAGGAGAGCCCACACGAGCACCAGCAAGCGGTGATTCTCTCACGAATCATCAACAATGTTGTATGTTACCTGTGACCATCATAAATATATTGATATTGATAGTTGAACAGGAAAAGCTCAACGAGGCCATCATGGTCATGAACAAGAGCCTCCAGGTATGTCAATCTTCTCTATGGCCCTGACACTTTGCTAAGAACTATATGCAGGAGGTCAATATTCAGAACATGAATGTCGAGCTGGTGGCGCAAATGTTCAAGAATTACCAGTCTAATGTGCTGTTTCATTTGGAAGGTACTCATTCTTCTCTCGCTATATTATGAATCTAGACTGACAGGACTAGCTACCGAGAACTTGAAAGAGCCGTCGCAAAGCGAGTGATTTCAATGAGTCTTGAGTACATATGATGGGATATGAGATCAATCATGATGAAGACATTAGATACCACAAGGAGTAAATGTAGGGAATGAAGGTTACTGGGATTGACTTTGGTATAAGTTTTATTTAACACAATATATTGTAAACTTATTTCTTTTTTTTTATTGTCAGTTTATACATCTTGAATGGACGGAGCAGGCCTACAGAGACAGAGAGACTGATGTCTTGGCACCATACAAGACCAACAGTGGCTCTTCCGTCCACTGCGCCGCCACCGTTCAAACCGGGGATTTTAAGCTTCACATTCTTTCATCTTGGGCACTGTCGCCAATAGTCTCTAAACCGACTTTGATACCCCAATCAAGTGCAGACCATCCCTCTGTTAAAGCCTCGCCATTGATCTGTCCGCGACACCTGCAATGCGGTGAACCGTATCCCCGGAAGCTCTTTCGTTGCTCTTAGTTGATCCCACCTCCACGACGCCATGACTATCACATCAGTACAAGCGGTTCTTCCCGGCCGCTATGCGATCAACTCGACTGAGAAGAGTGCTGCGAAACCACCTCCGAAGGTCTATAATGTCCAAGAGCCTCCCTTCAAAGGCTACCACGCCCCCCAGCCAGATGGCTATCAGCGGAGCAGGTCAAAGCCCGACACAAGCGCTATCGTGATTGACAATGGTACGTTGACCTGCACTCCTAGTCCCCGGCTTATCTACACATGCTGATATCTTGGTTTCCTTGACAGGCTCGAATTTGGTCAAAGCCGGATGGTCATTCGACAAGAACCCCCGTTTCGTCATTCCCCCGGTGATGAGTCGGTACCGCGATCGGAAACTCAATAAAGCGTGTCAGTTTATTGGATACGATGCCTACGTCGATGCCACTACGCGCGGCCAGCTGCGCTATGCGTTTGACCCTGGCAGCAGCGTCGTCGGCAACTGGGATGTGATGGAAGGGGTGCTAGACTATCTATTCCTTAAACTGGGGGTCGACGGTGCCAACGGTGGCATCGACAGACCCATAGTCATGACAGAACCGATCGCGAATCTCAACTACCCCAGAAAGAGTGAGTCGGCTCCTTCTACGTACCCCGCCATGATGTCGTCCCGCTGACACCTTGCTAGTGATGAACGAAATCCTATTCGAATGCTACTCTGCGCCTTCAGTCGCTTATGGAATCGACTCCCTGTTTTCCTACCGGTACAATCGTGGAACCGATGGCTTGATTATCTCCTCCTCCCATACATCGACGCACGTCATCCCTGTGCTAAATAACAAGGCCCTCCTTTCGAACTGCTCACGGCTCAACTGGGGTGGAATGCATGCGTCGGATTACCTACTGAAACTGATGCGATTAAAATATCCGACCTTCCCTGCCAGAATGACCGAAAGCCAGATGGAAGACCTGGTCCATAAGCATTGCTACGTGTCGAAGGACTACGATCAGGAACTGGGCAAATATTTGGATTGGACGGGCCTCGAAGATAGGGATCTTGTTGTTCAATACCCATTTACGGAGCATGTTGTGCCAGAGAAATCTGAGGAAGAACTGGCGCGGATTGCAGAGCGCAAGAAAGAGAGTGGACGTCGACTACAGGAACAAGCAGCCAAGATGCGGCTGGAAAAGCTCATGAAGAAGGAGCAGGAGCTGGAGTATTACAAAGATCTTCAAAATGGTCTTCAGTCGGAGACTAAGAAGGAGGCGAGGCGCATCTTGGAGGCTGAGGATCTGAAAGACGAAGCACACCTTGAACGGATCATCCGGGACTTGGAACGTTCTATCAAGCGATCCAGGAATCGGGACCTCGGGGTGGAAGAGAATGAAGAGCCCGCGGAGGAAATGTCGTTCCCCTTATTGGATGTACCGGACGAGGAACTGGACGAAGCTGGTTTGAAAGAGAAGCGTCATCAGCGACTTATGAAATCCAATGTCGAGGCCCGGCAGCGCGCAAAGGCAGAGAAGGAACGGGAGAAGGCCCGCCGGGAAGAAGAGGAACGTCTTGACCGTGAGAAGCGCGAGACCGACTTTGAGGGCTGGCTCTCTGAACGCAGGACTAACCGACATGTAAGGATGCACGACGGGGAATCTCACGATGCTGCTGCTAATCGCTTAATAGAACATCTTGCAAAGGATCAAAGAACGTGACAGGTTAAAGGCAGACCTCGGTAACCGCAAATCGTTGGCTAGTCAGATGCGCATGAAGACCCTTGCCAACCTCGCTGCGGATGGCCCCAAGAAGCGAAGACGTGGTGGCGATGACGACGACTTCGGTGCGAACGACGAAGACTGGGGTGTCTACCGTACCGTGGCCACCGGAGAGCAGAGTGACGAGGAAGAGGAAGAAGATCTCGGCGGAATGCTCGATGTCGTCGAAAAGGAGCTGCTCGAACACGACCCTGACTTCACGGAGAACCACACTCTCGCTGCACAGTCAGACTGGACCAAGAGCCTTGTCCATGTATTCCTGCGGGGACCTTGGCCATTCGACCCGGAAAGTCAGCGGGAGGCTCATCAGTTGCACCTGAACGTGGAGCGGATCCGAGTGCCCGAAGTCGTGTTCAAGCCGTCCATCGCAGGTATTGACCAGGCCGGCTTGGTCGAGGTCGCCGCGGACATCGTCAACCAACGATTTACGAACCCGGAGGACCAGTCTCGGTTGCTGCGCGATGTATTCATGACTGGTGGCAACACACTCTTCCAAAACTTCGACGAGCGCTTCCGTCGCGAATTCCGGGCCTTCCTGCCTCTTAACGCCGAGCTCAACGTGCGCCGTGCCAAAGACCCTGTTCTCGATGCCTGGAGAGGAGCTGCGCAGTGGGCTTCTGGTGCCGAGCTGACCAAATCATCTATCACGCGACAGGAGTACCTCGAGAAGGGCAGCGAATATCTCAAGGTACGTTCTACACCAGTCTACAAATACTACCTCGAATGCATCGCATTGGCTAACTAAGTCCTAGGAACATGATCTGGGGAACGTCACCACGTGGTAAACATGTCAGCAAGATAGGAGATATGATAACCCGGCCTTTACAATCACGTTCTCATGCTCTACAGTACCAAAGGCTCCCTGAGGGACGTATGTCAGAGAACTGACCCAGTTGATTGGCGTTCGGCACAAGAACAGCCTCCATCATCTGACAGCAAGTACATTGCACCATTGGCCGGAGGGCTCGTATAACAACCTTGGAAATCCATGGCGCGAGGTACAAAAGAGGGAAATTGGTTCCGTGAAGAAAACCCAGGAGTCTGGCGCAGGGGACAAATAACATGTACAGATACGGCTTAATCGGAGCGGTTGACCTGTGATAATTCATTTCAATGCCACTTATCTTATTCACATCCGTTTTTCATTTCCACATACACAGCATTGCCGTCCCATGGACGCTGCGCTATCTAATCCCATAACCAATTCACTCAACACTTGGTACTCCGTATGAACAGGAGGTTCCCTTGCATATATAAAATCTCCAGGTGAAACTTAACCCCACAAGGGATATTGGGACCTGGGATATGTCATATCCCTCTCGTTTAACAACAACATTAGCCCTCCGTCTATCTTGAGTCCCCTTACGTCCTCTCTCCCTTGACATAGTAATGAAACAAAGAGTAAGGACTTAATGGTCGGTCAAAGTTCTTGGTAGACTTAATCTTGGATTGAATTTAGTAGTTTGTTTACCGGGTAATTTAGTCGGGGGAATATGTTTTGCGATGTAAGGAGGACGAGGTTATGATGAGATATTGTATGGACTTACACGGGAAAATTAAAATGAACCGAAAATGAAATAAACAAGGGAGAAAGAACAAAAGGGATCGAACAAACAGAATGTACCCAGTACACCCTCAGGCAGCGATGCTTTAACATCACCTGATACAATTGTCAGCACAAAGAAAGACTAACATTGGTAAGACAAAGGTCAACAAAAAAAAGAAGAAAAAAAAGAAGAAAAGTAAGACGTCATAGAAGGCAACCCGACAATTCACAATCCCATGCATGCATCAAGAGGAAAGTCTAGAGCAGCGCCCGGGACAATAAGAGCGGGATTCTTAGTCACGATGATATTAGTGCAGTGGATTTATAAACAAGTGGGTTGACCCGGGACGAAAAAGAAAATTAGTAGTATCCTTCAGCCTTGTGGGTCTAAGCCCGAATCGCAAAGGTCCTCGTCTTTTCCTCCAACTCCTCGGAGGAAGTTACTCGAGCAAGGATGGGAGGTGCCGACTGTTCCGACTTACACTGCACATATGACTTTTCCCGAGGGGATAGAGGAAAGTCTACTCCGTAGGAAGTGCTTGTCATGACTAAAAACCGAGCATGGGTAGACTTTGCTACTAGTGACATTGGCGCATCGACCGGTGCCGATCTTCAGGAGCCGTTTAGCGCTCGAAGCTTCAATAGCTTCCCGTCTGGTAAACTTGTTTGTTGGGTGGGCTTCCTATGACGCATTGGGCGTGTGGCGTGGTTACGGTCTTAGAATCCGATTTGTTTGTTTTGTTCGACAGCACAGATGGATTAAGAAATTGGGATCTGGACGGCCAGCGGCCAGACCAGACCACGGCCAGGGCCAAGTCAGATGTCCTGGTTTTTGGGTGGACCTTGGCAAGACGACGATCCTTGTACGGTACGGCGGCAATCCCTTGGAACCGAGAAGACTTTCTTGCTTGAGTCGTGTACTTCGTAGAATATTCGGCCGTGAGGTGACATGATCGTGTACTCGGTACATTAGTTAGGGCTGAGGGTGGGTAGCTAGAGCACCTCATGGGGGGAGCCGAAGCGAAAAGGAAAGGTTCCATTCTCTTCTCGAGGACGGAGCACAGTGCCAGAACACATTTCCACCCTATAGTCCACCGCTATTATCATACGTTGTGCGGGGCGCATCGGCCGTGTACTCCGTAATACACGACTCTTCTTCCGATTATTATAGACCTTCCATTTCGGGACCACCAAATAGACATTTCTGCATGAGGATCATTAGAACCCGTGCGCCTGTGCATAGGTGCTCACACCGTGCGTACTCACACCGTGCACGCCCCGGAGTACGTATCCAGGGTGTTTGTATCGGTAATAATTCGGAACTTGGGCCTGTAATTTGAGGTTTAGTCAAAGTAGAGTCACGATTCGATGAACTAATACTAGTAGTAGAAGAGCAGAGAAACCGAATATCCGCGATCGACACATCGAGACCGAGGATCACGGGAGGGTCATCTGCCTCGACCTGCTCTTCATGCTAAACCCGGACGGGATTAGTGGGTAACATGACAGGATGAAAGTCTACAACAACCTCAAGCTTTTGACCCATTTGGATTTCTCGCTAAGTCTAAACCATTTGACTTTCCTTGTCTTATCTGACTTTTACCTCATGTATTAGCTAAGTTGGACGGTCAATTGGCTCAACATGTGCATTCCGCGGGATGCCGACTGGCTCAGTCCACCCGCAAACGAGACCATTCCCTATGAAGTTATACTATGAAAAATGGATTGCCAAAAAGTCATGCAACGATTCCCCTCCCGAACCATGGACTGATGCCCGGCACCTCCCTTGCTCTGGATTTCTGTGTGCTGCAGATCTCGTCCACTGGGACCCGTGATTCCGACTCCCTAATCTCCACCCCCTCCGGTAATGCTGATGACCCTTCCTGCGTATGTGATGCCAGGATGCAGATGGGCGGCGTCGAGAGGTATCACTCAGACAAGGATCAGCTGCAAGTTCTACGTTGTTGGTCAAAGCTGTCGGTGTCACTGAGTCAACAAAGTCTCTGATTGGTGAACATGATCTGTGGATCAACCGTGGACTGGTTTTTTGGTCCATTTCGTGATAACCACTCCCAAAAGTTTACTTCATGCAGAGGAAATTATGACGCATCTGGGGAAATCAACAGCTGCCAGGTAGCACTTCCATACTAGGTAATTCTATTTTTTTTTTTTCCGTCCCCTCTCTGTCTACCCTCCCTTTCGACAGACAGGGAGGGTAAATGGAACTTCCCACCGTGGATCCTCGATAGCAGCCGCCGCCATGATTCGAGAATTTTGACGCAAAAGTAAGCTGCCCGTCGGTTGGCTCGGGTGTGATGTTATGTGATTGATGCCCAGCACACAGCAGCCCTGTAGATATAAAGCCAGGTCCTGATCGCTCCCTACCTGTGGTTTCTATCCATCAATCACATTAGCCTGCCACACGGGAGTTCACCTTCTATATACTTCAGTTCATCCACCAGTCTGACTGTACTATTAACTCAAACATACGTATATACATTTATATACAAATCAACACAACAACATGCTCTCGAGTTCGATCACACGTCCGCTGCAGCTCTTCACCCGGGTGATGCAGTGGTCTAGCGCTGTCATTGTGATGGGTATCACTTCTTACTTCATCAACAAGGGTCCCCGTGGATTGTCAATCACATATCAAGAAATCATTGTATGTTCCCCGTTTCTCATATTGGCGACTAGTAGCTAATACCACGATCCACAGTCTACCATATCGGTCGTGTTCTTCCTGCCAGGCTTTGTGTCACCGTTCATGCCCACGGCTCTTAGTAAATTCGTTCTGGGGATTGATGTTGTCTTCTCGTATCTGTATGCAATCCACCCCCATTCCTACCCCAAGACACTAAGTACTGATCAAATGCCCTAGGTGGCTCACCGCATTCATCTTCGCCGCCCAAGACTACAACCGTCACAACTGCCGCCTCTTCGCTCCCCCAGGAGTCTCCTGCTCCAAGAAGAAGGCCAACGAAGCATTTATCTTCCTAACCTTGTAAGCCGTCCAACTTCCATCAACCATGCCCCCTAGACTGACAGCAAGACAGCATCTTCACCTTCTTCGGCATGTTCCTTGAGGTCCTCGGTCTCTGGGCCTACCGTCGCGAGAATGTCCCTGTCCGCGAAAAGACCGGCGGTGCTCACGGCGGTCCCGCCGATGCCCCGGTCGCGACGGCATAAGCATCAAACTACACTGTCGTCCACGATCAAGTACATATAAGGCGGGCGGACCAGACAATCCACGAGAACGATTCACGATACCATTGAACGGGTTTCCCAGGGCATGCACTACGCAGACGTAATAATACACCTATCACGAGTGAGGAGATGCCAATCTACTTGTGAGGTATTGGCAAGGGGGAAAGTGTGGAGGTCATAGATGGGTGGTTGAGGTGGTTGGAGGTATACTAATACTTGTAATTTCGATATCCGGATAGTTCATGTGACATATTTATATTCTACCATGATCAACTTTTATATTTCTTACAGCTTAACGTTCTGTCATATGCCTGTCATAGATTCATTAATTAAGGTGATGTCACCACATTGGTTCGAGGTAAGTTGGTAGCTTTGGTTCCTACGGAGCTTTGGCTTTCAAAATCTCCATATAAAGTTACATCAAGTGGAACGGTCTGAAGTTCAGAACCACTGTGGCAAGAATATCACCCCCCGTCTATTACACAGTATATTCTGTATACTTTGTTTGCAGTACCAAGGTTCTTGCCCGGTTCCGACCTTTCCTTGCAACTCTCGAGAGTTCACGATCCACTCTTGTCCTTGGTGATGAAGAACACTTGAGACTCATCTCTATCATTCCGCTCAGATGATTCTCGGTGGTTTCAGGAGATCAAGACAGCCTTTCTTGATATCAGTTCTGGCACTGTAGGGGGCGACGAAATCTCAAATATTTGAAAGAAAACACAAAGATTGCTGTCGACCAAAGAACATGTCTTTTGGGTGCGGGAATACAAAGCGAAGCACAATTGACGAGTTCGAAAGGGCATACCGGCTTACGATTCTTTTATTGAGCGTCTAGTTATGCAGGTGCTTGCAAGGCAAAATCATGTCCGGAACGCTGTCTGAACCCCATAGGAATGATATAAACGGAATCTCAGACCCACTATCTCTTTTAATATCTCCGTCGTCTCTTGCCTATCCTGTACGCTCCCGTGGTTGAGTCCCGATGCAGTAGATCTTCTGCACCTATTTGTATGATCTCTTAACCAGCGTCTTCCACGCCCCTACCACTCATGTTGATTCTGCGCGATTTGATCTGCTTCTCACAGCCACACTAACCACTTGTATCATAACAAATACTAGTTCGGATATCGAGCAACATCGTTATTAAAGTCCGTAGTAAGCGCGAAAAGAACCGAAAAAACAAGTACTAATATCCCCAGACACAAGCACTAACTAAATCCCTCCCATAGAAACGGCTTGATCCTTTCATGTCTGCATCTGTAACCGGAACGGATACAGACATAGGATCCTCCGTAGGGTTTGAAGGATTGACCTCGATCTTGAAGCCCCTCGCATCCTCACAACACTTACACATCGCCGTACAATGCGAAAAATGATATGGCCGCTTAGGGTTTCGAGGCCTCGTGCAACAACCACACTCACGCCCACAACATCCACCCACAGATACACACTGGGTCTGGCAAAACTTCGTAGTATAGAAATGATTGTTTCGACGACTGGTATCTAAAGCGCGCTTGAAGGGCCCTTCTGGAAGAAGTCTGAATGCAGACTCGAAACCTCGCTCTACATTCCAGATCTCCCGGTTGATGTCTTGAAGCTGCTTTTGAATGTTCTGCATCTCGGTTACCAGGGTATCTGCCCCTGATGGATTCGCCTCAAGTTGCTGGAAGAGGGTGCCATGCTGTATTTGTAGATAGGCTTCGCGTTGTATCTTGAAGCGGATGATATACGTAAGTTGAAAGTATAAGAAAATAACTTCTCGGAGTTCAGGGATATAGCTGTGCCATTTGAATTGTTTGTGTCGAAGCTGCTGGGCCTTTTGCATTTTGCCTTTCTCCTCGAGCTTGTCCTCGAGACGCTCGAGGAGCGGCTCGAACCTTTTAGCGAGATAATCTTTCAGACGCATTGCTAACTATAGGTTGGGTTGTTGGAGGGTCGAAGATCGTAGTAGACGAGAGTGACATATTCAGAGCTGGTGCAAGGTTTTCATCAGACATGTCAACCTTTCGTCATCCTTATTTTATCATGATGACCAGCGTATTCTCTTTTCTTGTTGTTGACCGGCACAGATCACATTGGGGCAGACGTGTTTTTCTTCGTGGTGTTTGAGTAGACTGTGTCTGCAGTTTTGTAAATATAGATTAGACCGCCACCGTACATATCAACGAAGGAAACAAAACTTGAAGCTGGGAAATTAAATGACACGACGGGGGATTATAAATATAGCCAGGAGATCAGTCATCACTACATTATCAAATTGTGAAGAGAAAGTGCAAATGATATATGCTGTTCGATATAGGGACGATATATGACTATGGAGTCTGGACTGCTGTATTGCAACCTTGTACTAAACAAGAAAGCATAATTCCGATATAATTACTGAAAGTGAATTAACCATCTATGATGAATGTACTGTACTGTATATTTCTATCCGCCAAGTTTATCATATCCAATGTCAATAGTGAACGCTGTTGGTATAGTGCGAGGCGCTTGCTCTAGGTACAAAAAATTCATGAATCCAATAGACACAAAGAAAGTTTAAGCTGGAGATTAAATGCGGAAAACTCCATTCGCTGTTTTAAACTCGTCATTCATAATAGAGTGCGTCGGCAATGGAGATGGTGAAACTTAGATGCTCGCTCGCCGAGGCGCCAAGGTACGTTGTAGCTTCTTTTTCTCCTCTGTTTCTTCCGGTAACGGCAGGGATCCTTCACTGCGGAGTTTCTCTAGATACTGCTTGCCATATGCGTAGCCTACTTGGTAGATCTCATCAAACTTGCCGAAGTCGAGGGTTCCGTATGGGTCGATGGGAGGGCGCATATACAGACAGCCAGGGGTGTTTTTGGCCCGTTCTAGATTGTCAATCGACGATACGTATGCGAGTCGTGCTTGGATTTCGGACAGTGTGGGAGGGTTGGGGCAAGCAGAGAAGGGGTTCCAACGGTTGAGCACGGTCCAGAACCCAGACAGCGAATCACCGTACCCTTGAGGCGTGTTGTCATCGATTGAGCCTACATCGACGGCAAAAATCACATCGGCCCCAAGTCCCTTCATGTAGGCCACTGTAAGGTTGTCGATGTACCCGCCATCAAGTAGCATGCTGCCTTCGTCGCAAATCGGGGGAATCAGACCAGCCAATGACATCGATGCACGCACGTAGCGCCAAGTATAACCCGACGAGTGGAATTCGGGTCGTGATTTGCTGATGTTGGTGGTGTTGCAGTAGTACTCCAGCCAGAAGTCCTCGATCTGGCTATCTCCAAAGGTCTTGAAGATTCCCCGGTTGAACTCATGGCCAGTGGTGTAAGAGGTGGTGGGATACGTGAGATCTAGCATAAACCGCCACATGCTAGCCATGCGACCAGCAAACTTCTTCGCTCGACCATACATAGGAACCACATCCGCATCCCGTGCATACAAAGCTCCAATGAATGAGCCGATAGACGTACCGCCAATGATGTCAATAGGGATCCCGGCCTCTTCCAGTGCTTTGATGACGCCAACTTGAGCAATACCTCGAGCTCCGCCGCCACCAAGCACGAGTCCAACAGACCTGCCACAAAGTCGGCGAGCCAGGCGATGGAAGTCGCCCTTGAACGGAGTTTGTGCCGAGTAGAGAGGTGTCTGGCGAATCCGCCGCGATGTGTATTTTTGAATTTCTGCCTGGATGACCTGAACTCGTTGTTTCAGAACGGCCCCAAGCCGTTTCGCCTGGGGATGTGAGGGTTCAGGGGTTAAACGGAAGCCCATCTGAATATGATGGTGGCCTCCGTTGACCCACATCCGGTTCTTTAGCCATTGGCGCGTCAGTCCCGGAGGGCAGTACCGCTCGGAATGTAGCAACACGAGTTCTTTTCTGGCCGTTGTCTTCATTCCAAGTAGAAATCTTTCGTACTCGCCGATACTGGGCGACGATTCGGCAAGGCCAACGAGCAGAATGCAGTCAGCTTGCGTAATGCAGGTCTGCGTCCACGGGGAGTTCACGTTGGTGTCTGCGATATAAAGTACCATCCCATACTTTTCCTCGAGGTCGGCCAAATACTGGGACAACTTCAATTTCCCCATCTTACTGAAAGCATGTCGTCCGAGATGGTTCAAGATCGCCGCTTGGTTGAGGGAGGTAACACCATTCGTCACGCCGATCTGGTGAAGTGCGTTCTGCAAGCGATGGCCAAATTCTACCACGGGTACTCCAGCCGTTACGGGGAGTATACCAACGGTACGAAGATTTACCACAGAGGAGGCGGTCTTGACGCTGCCAGCGTTGGCATGCTCACCTCCCTTTTCGGACATGGGAAGTTCAACGAGATCTCGCATCCGCTGAGCAATGAGCTTAGAGACCTGGATAGTAATTCCCGGGTGCTCCTGCGCAAGACTATTAAAAAGGGATCGCGGGAATTTAGCTAGCTCGGTGTCCCGAATGGCGTGTAGAGTCGCCGGGCGTGTCGACTCTGTCATGACCTCTAGCTCCCCTACGCTTTCTCCCTGGCCATACTCGCCAACGACTGTGATCTTTCCATCTGTACCTTCGAGAACAGACCGTAGACGCCCGTTTAAGACAAGATAGATTGCATCACTCTCGTCCCCTTGATGATAAATGACTTGGCCCGCATTCACTTGCACCCATTCTAAAGCGAAGTCGATGTGAAGGAGCAAGCGAGGAAGAAGGCTTGTCAATCGCTTTGCCAGGGTTAAAAGCGCAATAGGGTAACGCTCGGCGATCCTCTCCAAGGATGACCTTGGAAGGAACCCGACATACACATCTGTTTTCGCCACCACATCCGTATAGGACCTGTAAGATGCAACGGATCCGACGTATCCTTGAATGCCACCAGGCTTGATAAGATAGAGTGACTTCCGCGACTGCCTTTTCCGCTTATTATCGTTTGTGCCACTCATCATAACTGATGCACGAGAGGAGCTGGTCGTCGTCCGCTTCAGAGTCGGAAAGAATTCCTCGTGTGGCGGCCCATATGCAGGTCTCGAACCGCCCACAAGATCATCTCCTTTGTCGGATACAGGGATACCTACATCTAGGAATCCGTCGATGACATAGTAGAGGCCTGGATGGCGTTCCCCTTGCTCCACCAGAACTGAACCCTGGGGGAAATAGACGATCTCGATGTCGTTTCGAAGTTCTTCTCGCAAATTGATGATAGGCGACGTCCCACCAGCGCTGGTCATGGACATTGACATCATTGACTCCGTCTCACCATCCGCCGAACCATCGTAAGGGTCGATGAAGCCGAATGCATTGTTAGTGAACACAGCCTTTTGCCGCCGAGAATCGTATGAAAGAAGCTTTGGGGATATGTCCCCAGAGGTGTGGCTGCTCTTACGTAAGACATCACGAGTGCTGCTGGTAAGTCCGATGCCATTCATGATGCAGTCCAGGATGGATTCTCTGAACAGGGCATCCTCGTCAACGGAGTCCTTCTTTCGGTGGAATGGCGAGCTGTGCATAACGGGAGCCATAAAAGGGGGATTCTCTTTATCTGTTAATGGGCTGAGCAGTTTAGGAGCTAAATGTTCGTATCGAGGGCCAAACCGGGAGAGCTGAATGGTAGACAACAGATCCCCGGGGCTCGGCCCTGCCGACTCGCGGTCACCAGGGATATCCTCTGGGCTGGCCATGGTCAATGGTCGCTTCGGTTGCGCTGCCATCTTTGCATGGAGAACCGCTTCTTTCCTCAGGAAGCTACTGGACCGGCGTCTTCTGCCAGCAGAAGGATTGTGGAGTGCAATGCCCTTGATGATCTCTTCCGGGCCCAGGCGGTCTCGCTCTTTGATAAATTTGTCCTTGAGGCGATCCAACGCCGCTCCACGCATTTCGTTGGGCAGGTCCTGAGTCGTGAACTTGGTCATCTGTTTTTCAATGCCCAGCACATCATTGTTGAGACCTAGATAAGAATGTGCCGTGGCAAACGTTACTCTTTGGAGTCGTGTCAGGATCACCTGGACAATATGGGCGGTTGCTTTCGGATATACTCTCGTCAGGCGGCGAAAGGCGCTGGCCGGGATGATAGCAATGGTCGTGTCCACCATGGCTCGAGCCACAATATCCGGATGGACTGACTTGCGCCGTCTCTTGCCCGGATGGTTCCGTGGTTCCAAGTTAGGTTCATGGTTGGGCATAGCATGGCCTTCTCCTAGGTTTAGGGGCGGGACGGACGGCAGAAGTTCCCCATTACTGTTGCTTATATGGGCGACAGAGTCACCATGATCTCTAATAAAATTAGAACGAGGGCTGTCCTCCAAGCCGTGAGGACTCGCCGGGAACGAGTCAGATACCCGAGCAATAGTGCTAGGGCCTACGCTGGATGCACTAGAAGACGAGCCTTCGCTGGCTCGTAGTTGAATATCCTCGGTGAACAAGGACAGGATGGAGAACAAGGACGACATCGAGGCGCCGTTTTTGACTTCCGTAAGAAGTTGGTAACCTTGCTTTCCGTCCATATGATGATCGTCCTCATCAGAAGACTCCGCCCCCATGCGGGTTGAACAATCGTCTACGTTTGATTTCCCGTCGCGCATGGACTTGACGAATATCTGGACCAAACCATCCACTACTAGACAGAAGCCTTTCTCTTCCTCCAGCATCAAGGTTTCCCCCGCAATCAGCTTCCTCGTTTGCATGGTTCGAGTCAATTCATGGAATACAGGGCGTTCCAGATAACCAAAGACCTTGATGGCGCTTAAGAATTCGTCAAGGTAATTGGCCAGGCCCGGTTTGGAATCCCCTTCCTGGACATCGGGGAAGAGATCGAGATCGGGTTCTTTGCGTTGGGGCTCCGGAGGTAGACGACTATACATATTCAAGAACCGGTAACGAATGAACCAACTGATGGTTGATACGATCGCCAGCGCGATTAACAAGCTGTGGGTTCATTGAAACATTGTGTTAGC